GACGAGTGTAAGCCCATGGAAGATATGATACGATGAGATAAGAAGGTGCGGCTGCTTGATAAGAGGTGCACTCCAGAATGAAAACGGGACGATAACGATAACGGTATCATATCTAGCACGCTCTTATCGCACCCCTTTCCACATCGATAAGTCTTGGTTTTTGCTGAACGGAAGTGGATTTCGGCGCCTTATCACTCCGTTGATAAGGCGCCACTGCCACTGAAACTTCACGTGTTCTAACATTGGGCAGGACCTCTATCCACTCCAATACATAGCTTTCCTTATCGTTGCCATGAAAATTATCGTGACCACTTCCTTTAAATTCTGCACGTTCGTTCCCTGAGCGATCTCCATAGCACTGCTCGCGGTAGCCGGTCGAACGCCTTCTCCAGGTCGAGGAAGGCTAGGTAGCAGGGTCGGCGCTTTTCTCGATACTTCTCCATCACTTGCCTTGCGATGAAGATGGCATCCGTTGTAGACCTTTCGGGCATGAACCCGAACTGTTCCTGGGAGATCGGGACCAGCTCCCGCAGTTTCGAGTCGACCAGTCGCTCGTACAACTTCATGGTATGCGCAGTCAACTTGATCCCGCGGTAGTTGGAGCAGTCCATCGCGTCACCCTTCTGCTTGAAGATGGGGACGATAGTACTTGTTCTCCAGGCATCCGGCATCCTTCCTTCGGCAGTTACCGTGTTCAGGAAGCGGGTGAGCCACCTTACCCCGTGCTCTCCAAGCGCCTTCCAAGCCTCTATGGTACTCCATCCGGACCAACTGCCTTTCCAACCTTCATCTTCCCAAGTGCACACCGAACCTCATCCTCTGTCCAGAGTGCGATGGGACCAGCTGTGGCCTCTGCCCGTGAGTTGTTCTTGTGGGAACTCCTCGTTCAGAAGACCTCTGAAGTACTCTTCCCACCTCCTCCTTGACTTCGGCTGGCTTCCTCAGGATGGCGCCGTTGCTGCTCTTCACACTCTTCACCCCTGATGTCTTGAGTAGCCCGATGCCGGGCTTTGGCCAGTCTGAAGACGAACTTCTCTGCGTTTCTGCTTTCCAACTTCTCGTACAAGGCGTCCATCTCCGTGTTCTTCGCCTTGGCGACGGCAGCCTTAGCAAGCCTCTTGCAGGTTTTGTAGACAGCAACGTCATTATGGCCTCGCGTCTTCTGCCTTCCGCTTCGACTAGATGGGCCTCCTCGTTCCAAGAACCACGCTGCCTTGTCTCCTCTGAATCCACCTCGCGTCTCGCCCAGTACCTCCTTGGCGCATCGTAGGATGATCTCAGCTGCATTGCCCCAAGTCTGCTGCATTGGTCCCTCAGGATCTGGGAGACCAACTTCCATTATCCTTCGTTTGAGGTCATCCTTCTCTGCTTGGTGCAACTTCCACCACCGGATTCTCCTCTCGGTTACCCTTGTCTTCTTGGGGAGGTCCATGGCTATGTCTGCCAGGAGGGGCCTGTGCTGGGAGCCAGTTCTTCGCCAGGGAGTACCTTGATGTCCTTCACAGTTCTGAGGGATGATCTTTTACGAGCACATGGTCGATTTCCGTTTGTCTCCCTCCACTGCTGTAGGTTACCTTCTGAGTCTCCCTTTTCGCGAAGAACGTGCTGCAGATTGCCAGATCGTGGGCTCCCCCAGCGTTCCTCGTCCTATCCCTCTACCTCCGTGCACCCTTTCCAGCCTCTTCTGTCACTGCCGACGTGACCATTCAGATCACCTGCTATGGTGAGGTAATCGCCTTCCGGAATCGATCTGATGGCTTCGTCAAGGCTCAGATAGAACTCGTCCTTCTCACTTTCGGGGCATCCGGCTTGCGGTGCGTACACGGAGAGTATGGTCCAGTACCCCTCCTTCGTGTCTATCCTCACAGCCATGATCCGATCGCTGATCCTGTTCACAGCGGAGACATAGTCCTTGAGCGACTCCGCTACCGCTATGGCCACACCGTTCCGCTTGGTGTCTTCTCCATTGTAGTAGAGTTTGACACCTTCCCCGATTTCCCTGGCCTTAGCACCTTTCCATCGCGTCTCCTGAAGGCATAGGACTTGGATATTCCTGCGCGTCATCAGATCAGCAACCTCTCGGGACTTCCCAGTTAGCGATCCTACGTTCAGAGTCCCAATTCGAACTAGCTTCTTTGGCCGAGGCCGTTCACTCCTCGGTAGCCCTCGCATACTGACCACAGAACTCGGGCGGGGGTTCTGCGCGCCACTTCCGGGTGACGTCCTAGCTTTATCACTGATTCTTTTGCGACTTTAGACATGTTTGGTGTGACTGGGGTCTTCATCAGCCGGCCTGTCAACCTGGGCCTGACGCTGGTACTAGAACCATTTTTGCAATTTTTGCAAGGCATGGTTAAGCCTCGGCAGGGATCGAACTCGCGGTTTTCAGAGGTGCAGACATGAGTCTAACCTCTTAACCACTCGGCTATCCCTGCACTTATCCCATAAATAAGTGTTCGGGTGAATTGAGGGATTGAGGTGGGCCTAGCTTGACAGGCACGTGCCACGGTGATGCGTTGCCAAGGATACTAGCAGAAGCTCCTGAACGGCCAGTCTATAGTTCGCCGCTAGGTCATGTTGACCTCGCCTTCGTCCGCACCTAAAAAGCATTGGGAAAGGCGGGAAACTCGCGCTGACCTGCCGCAGTGGGCGAGGTCTAGGCCACATCTT